CAGAGAATATCATAAATCACACATTTGTCAACATGCATTTAATAATTGCCATAAAATTCAATGGAATAATTCCACAATTTTAACAAAAGAACAATCCACAAAAAAACGTAAAATTAAAGAAAGCGCACTAATTTTACTAAATCAAAATAATTGTGTTGCTTCATGTTCATTTAATTTAAGTCATACATGGTTGCCTATGCTAAAATCTGAAGTAAACCAGAGAAACATACACCCAAATTAAATTTACACCAAAATTATTAATTAACATTACCTTTATTAATTTAAACAATRAGATTAAGTCAAAGTCACATAACTGACAATTTGCACAGACGAATTATCAGAGCGAATTTTCATATATTGTATTATCCTACTATTGTTACACAATTAATTAAGATACTCTTTTTTAGGTTCATTTAGGTTCTTTTGATAACGAGAGCAGAAAATAGCTATCGAAACGTCAAGGTAATTTTTCAGATTAATTTCTCTACTAATTGGAATTTTCTCTTACAGCTGGAGCCTAAGTGTGTGGCAGGATACCCTCTAGGTGATAGTTCTTGATTACTTTTTGAGAAATAATTCGTTCTTATTGCGAAATAGGAGCACTATTTATCAATCTGTAATAGAAGACGTGAGGAAATTCTGTCTTTTTAAAGACAAAAATTTTTGAGGCGAAATACATACATAAAAAAAGTTCTTGTTGTCGAGTGGTTAAAAAGAGAGTGTTAATCATGCAACCAGGCCCCGATGATCACTTGACACTTCATTAAGGGCTCAAGCCAGAGCAACGATTCCCGGGAAATAGCAGATAAAATAAGAGGCGTCGTCATAAGTCAAAGATGCGTTAAGGTAGAAGCGTTTGACATGTTGCAGACGCCTCCCATTGGAAAAATGCCTAAGATGAGGTTCGTTTCAAATGTACGGTCCATAAAAAAGCCGTTAACACCCGTAAATTAAAATATCTTAAATAACGTTCGGACGGCTAGATGGCCAGATTTAGAAATACCAAAGATATTCTTAGAAAGGGATTAAGATTAAAAACAAACGTTTCCTACGCGAATAGCCTATCGCTAGGTCACAAAAAAGACATTGCTAATAAACGTCTTCTAGGTAGTGATAAAGTCGGCTCAAGATGCATACTTGTGTGCATTGTTTTGTACGCAGTATGTGGTGGCAGTATCCGACCGAGAAACGTTTAACAAACTAGTTTAATAAATGGTGTCCCGTCCGAGAAATTTAATACTTTAATAGAATTTAACTAATTGCCCGGCTGAAAGAGTTTTATATCATGTACAACGGGGGTCTTCATATTTCGCGTGGGAGGGAATTTATTGTTTATGCGTTCTTGTGTTCTTTGTGCATATTAAGTAGCGGGCTTTTTCACTACGAGTTCTCTACGCTATGTGGGCTTTACGCCCTAAAGACAACCGGTATATGAAGGTGTACAAATGAGGATCGGTTGAAGCAGTTTTTTCACCTTCATTAGAATTGAACCAGCTTAAAAAATGAGCAAAGCAAAAGCAAAACTCCTGAATCAAAGAATCCACACCTGAATCTGTAACTTGTTTAAAGTCGATTAGAGGCGATGAATGCGATTTAACTTCACTGGCCGTGAAAATGGCCAACTGTTCTATTAGTTCTGGTCCAACAATTTTCATCAAAATTGAAACGAGACCAAATCGAATGCCTGCTCAGGTTTACAGGAAAACTTCACTAGCTTGAAAAAATATGGAGAAAAATTGTCCCTATAAAAACAGTAAATTATTAGGAAAAACTCCGTTTTCATTTGGTGTTAAAATCAGTGCTTTTAGCGTGCAACATTCCTATCCGACTGTGTTAAGGAATGAAAATTAAATTGAATGTCTTCTACAATAAATTCCAGTTATCAGTCGGGTATGCAATCGGGCCTTGCCAAGGATTAACCCTTCAGAAAATGGCAATTTTGGACAGCCCTTTAGCTGTTCGGCAGGGCTTCAGAAAAGGTATAATAAAGCAATAAAACGCGGCTCGGAGTTCAGCAAGAACTAATTATGGCGTAAAGGCAAGAAGCAAGGAAATTAAAAGACTACAGCCAGACCATGTTTTACTTAATAGGGTATAAAGTGGCTAAATTGCTTAATGGGTTGTTCGCTCATATTTAGTCTATTGTGGGCTGAGAAGAAAGTCCTCCAACATGCTCAAAACAACCCAGTTTCCGGAATAAAAGGCGTCCGAGGTGTTGATAACGGATTTGCACACAAAGAGTTGCATTGACCATAAACCCTTATCTCTTGAATAACAGATTTCACTTTATTTTGCTGCTTGCCAGTCACCCATTTCGCTTCATTAACAGGATAAATCCGCGCTTCTGAAACGTTCCAATTTTGCAATAAACCAGTTTCCAAGTCAACAAATTGACTGATGATTTTTCATCAGCATCTAAAAAACTGCTTTTGCTGACAATCCCCAAATCTCAGCGCCAGCTGTAGGTTCACATGATAAAAGTTCACACTTCGCCTCTTTTCCTGGGGCAAAAATTGTTGGGGTGTTTAGGAGAGACTGACCAGTTTCCCCCTAAGAAGTTCTTACCATAATAAACTCCCGACGAGCCACCACCGCTTGCCACACAAATCGACATCAGGGCAAAGCAAACCAGCACCGTAATCCCACTTGGCCAAGTGCAAAACACCAACTCCATAATTGTCGCTAAAAACAGTTCAACTCATACACTCTACAGCACTTTTTCCCTTCAACAACCGATTGACACCAGAGCCTGGACGAAGCGAAACCACTGATGCAAACACCGATGCATCATCCGCGCGAACAACGGGACGTAAACAAAATACGCGCTCGGCCGTCCAAACGATCTCAGACTAGGACGCTTCGACACCAGCTTCCGCGAGCTTTCGACGAGACTGAGCCGAGGACGGAGGAGGAAAACGCGGCGTCCAAGAATAAAAGTCGATGGCGCAACGTGGAACGTATACCTGCCTGCTTGCCTGGCCTATAGGGCCATCAGCAGGCTTCCCGGGTTGTAGACTGTTACTTTGCTTGGATACTTGGATGTTAATCGATATTTAATCAACGACTAGGTATGATGGCTGTAGCATTGTGCTGCACAGTTTCAGTTCAGGGTGAACTTCAGCCAGAAACTCTCAGCGAAGTGA